CCACCTTTCCTCCCGGCGCTGCCGCCGGGACGGGGGCAACGACGGCGTTAAAAGGGTTTGACGCGGGCGAGGGAGCTCCAAAGGCAACGCTGCCCGATTGGAACTGCGCAGGAGCGGGGGCGGTCGCGCCGACGCCATTAGAGGGGGCTAAGCCAAAGGGTAGATTAGCATTTGCCACCATACCACCTGCCGCGGCAGGGGTTACCGCCGGTCCCGAGGTGGTGCCAAAAGGAGAAGATGCGGGTGCAGAAGCAGGGGTAGGTGCAACCGCTGTGGCAAACCCCGCACCCCATGAACTGGTCGCGGGTGTTGTTGCATTGGATACGTTAAAACCAGTGCCTGCAGATGTAGTATTTTGGGGTGCACCGAACAAGGTAGGCGCGCTAGGAGTTGTGGACGCATTCGTACTGGCTGCTGGTGCACCAAAGTTCATCGTTTCAGGTAGTTTATAAAACTAGTGAATTCCAATAGAAAAGTTTATCTTTCCTTATGTATTTTGGACGTTAATGTTCTAAAACTCTACCCACACGTCTTTAAATATGAATAGATTAATCTATAAATACGAATACACTAAATAAAACTTATTTGCTCAATATGGGTACAACAATAAATAAGGGGAATAAATTCACACAGACTTGAAAGAGTAGTCCTTAAAAAATACAAAATTCCAATTAGCACTATTTATGGGCAAATTTAGGAACCATAAGAGAAAAACTCTGAATAGATATCCTGCTAAATTTTGGAAAAACTACAATATCATAAGAAATAAAGGGAAAAAATAACTATTCAAAGAGTAAAAATCAGAAAGTTATCGCTACCTAGACTCACTGTGATAGAATTTTTTTTCACCCTCTCACTTGTCCCCTCATGGTGGAAAAGATGCAATGCCGCCAAGGTATGTAAGAATTGGCTTACCAATTCAATGTCATACACCTTTTCGAATAAGAAATTTGAACAGCGTCTGAACTACCTCACCAGCACCCTGTGAGGAACACTTCTTAACAGTAGACTGAAATGCCAGTGGTGATGTTGAAAGTTCGCGCTCCTTGCACAACTCAAAGAAGAGTGACACGGACAAATGCCAAGAAGCACCTGGTGCAGGTGCTTGCGCAAGGGCATATTGTACACAATCATGAACCTCCGTCGTGGGCACATAAAGCTTCCGCCGTGGATCATGCAAGAGGTGCTGAAAAATAGTCACCGCCTCCTTCCAACTTCCTTCCATGGCATTCAGTATCGTAAGTTGATGAAGAGATTCGTTTTCCAGCGCCTCAAGGGTTTCCTGATTTATGGAAATGCCAGGCTCCTCAGTCTGTGTTCGCTGGTGTCTCGGATCGGCAGATGCATCATATTGGAGGTTCTCTTTCCCTGGGGATCTCTTATGCGATCTTTGGCGCAGAGAACAAGTGAGCCTGTCACAATAACGCATTGCCTCATCAACCGATTTTGAGGTCTGAATTAGAGCGTTGTAGGCACGTGAAAGCGTCTGTGGATTATAAAACTTTGAGAGGGATTTTTGCTGCAGAAGCGCATCCACACCCTCGGTACAGCGTGACTTGCTAAATAACTCTACCAACGCAAGGTATACATTCGGGCTGTAGTGAACACACAGTTGGTTAAAATTAAAAGACTTGTCGTTACTGGAATGCATTCTATCGGAGACAGTGCATCCCGCTAAAGACGCATAGCTTGCACCTCGCTGACCCGCAATGGTATTTCGATGCCGTTCTTTCTCAAGTTGCTGCCGATGCTTCTTCATAATACATAATGCCTCTTGCCAGCGTCCGGAATGTGCACAGAAGCTCAAATACTGCTCTGTCGCCTTGAAATCGGTGATGATGGGTATATCGAAACGATCTAAAAGCGCCTTGGCGTAGGAAAAAGCGGTTTCCGGTGACTGGCAAAGAACTCTGCAAGTTTGGTAAACCGTAACGGCATTGGGGCGCATGTGGCAAAAACTCGAATCGTGGTCGAGGACGAAGCTTGACGTAGCGTCCGCTGAAGATTCCACCTCCTCTTCGACACTTCCGTCCAAACTATCAGCATTAGTACACACGAAAGCTTTGTCTATACTTTCATTTTTCTCCATGCATACTTTAGGTTCCCCCACGCAGTGCGGTGAGAGCACTGTTGTGTCCAAGAACATACAGGCCTCCCGCCAAAGATTGGGCTTCATGGAAAGCAGTCCAAGTGCGTCGTTTACAGCAGATGGCGTACTCCAGGATACCTTACATCCCATGGCTTGCTTTATTAAATGGAGAGGATAGGTAAAAAATTCGACCTCAGGCTCTGTCCTACTCTCCCCCTCCTTCGACACACTCGATAAGTTCATACACCCCTCCTCTACACGTCCTGGTGATAATAAATTCAATCCTTTAAGGAAGGCTTCGGATGACGAAGGAACGTCGTTCCTCAGTGCGGCGCGGTAAAAAGATCGAATCACACCCGTGATATCGAATTCCGTCCACAGGCTTTGGGGGATGTGGTGTAGGCTATTCAAGGCCCTTTCCCACTTCCCCTTGCGGCTGTAGAGGTCAATTAAAACCGCGTCTATGGCGGGTGTAGGGTCGATCTGCTCCAAAACCCGCTCGACCTCATCGAGCTGACCGGGGTTAGTGCTGTGGTGGCAATCCCGGAGCAGTTGTCGAGCGAGCGCCACTACCACCCGATCGCTCAGAAGCGGCCGTAAGACCTCGTTAGGGTGTCGAAAAAAAAAAAGATCAGACTCCCTCTTCCGATCTCCCGCGCTTTTTATCGCTCCCTTCAACCTCAAACGCTCTGTGAAGCATGACGAATAATAAAAAAGCGACACCGCATCCGACGTCGCGAGGCTTTCAACTGAAAAGAGCACCGCAGCCCGGGTCGCCTCTTTTATCCACTCCCGCTGCGATATTAAGGAGCTCGGCGTCGACGACAACAAACCCGAGAGTGATGTGTTCAGAAAAGGTGATTCCAATTGTAAAGAACCCTCGCTGTTTTTTTTCTCAACATCGCCTAAAAACCTCGGCTTGCCTGCATCAACATTCCCTCTCTTTTCGCTATGGGTGTAATTCAGCAGTGGTGATGTCGGCCATGTCGCGGTCCGTCGGGCCCTTTGGAGGGTCTGACTCAAGATAGAGATCAGCGTGCTCATGTCCTCGCCCGCAGCCATCCCGTTGAAGAAAAGAGACAAACCATCTGTTTCGTTATAAGTTTTGGAGGCTTGATCACCGGAACATGTAGAGGCACTTTCGCCCGCGGAACTATTTTCTTTTTGTACAGAAAAACATTTATGAGAGTCTACAAGGATGGCGACAGGGTCAAGCGGTGGTGGCAAATCCTTGTGTGGGAACAACAAGGAAGAAATAGCCATCCTGTGCAGGTTCATCGACTCAGTATTCCTTGGGAAGGGAGATAACGTAGATGGATGCCCGCCACTGAATAGATCAAGGGCATCGCTATCCGTTGTATACCCAAAGGGCATTGACTACTGCTACTAATAATAATAGTGATGTACTTTGGTGTTGGATGTTTGTGTAAACATGGAGTAAAAGTAATGGCATATGAAATTGGAATATCCTTTAGGAGTGTGTCATTATCCAATCGGTATTCTTTGATGGCGTATGGTTAAGTTGTTGTGACGCAGAAAAACTGATCACATCTAAAGAGATGTATGGATTCCTTTTTTTTTTCTCCTTTATCGATAAGGGATGGAAGTATTCTTCAACTATACAAGTTTCTGGCAGTTTTCTCTTCCGGTTTAGATTCCTCACTCTTTGTTGGAACTGGATGGGTTATCTTAAACAAAATTGTCGCCAATACGGCACCTAAAACTGGTCCCATCCAGTAGATCCACAGAAACATCAGTGGTGAGGCATAGCCTGCCATAACGAACTTAGTAAGTTGAAGCGCAGTCGCAACCGCAGGGTTGAAGGCGCCTTTTGATACCCCACCCACAGCATAATACAGCGCCATCAGGCATATCCCAACAGTCAAGCCATAATAATGTTCATTGCTATTTTTCGAATGCACGATGTTTAGTAGAACTGAAACTAGAAAACAAGTAAAAACACCCTCAAAAATCAGGGTTACCAATACATACTCAGGCGCATTGTAATAAATCTGTGGAGCAGGCAAAGGATGCGTTTTACCACTAATAAAAACACCACAACTTGCACCGAGAATGGCCCCAATAACCTGCGCACTCCAGAAGGCTAAGGTCTCGTCGATACGCATCTCACCCAATATTAGAGCGGAAGACGTCACAGCGGGATTGAAGTGTCCGCCCGATATATAGCCAAAAGTGAATATAAGCCCACTTATAATCAAACCCTCAGCGATCGGGGCCAAGTTATGATTATGATAGATGTTGTCAATTGCAGAAACGCCGCAATTCATTTCAGCCAAAACGATGGTCATAAGAAAAATAAACGTGCCAATCCCCTCGCATATAAGCCTCGCTTGGTATTCAGTTAGGCGAATAAGAGAGATTTTGCGAGCAAAAAGTGGTCTAGCATCGTCGACCTCAAATATTTCAGAACTCATCTTTTGCTAAATTGGTATTCTCTTTCTATAAGAGTTCGTTAGCTTACCTACATAACCATAGCACCCTAAATTATTCAAAAAACAAAGGAATAAGATGAAAAAATGCTAATAATTACAATCAGACACAATAATTATAATAATAGAAGTGTAAAATGAGATGCTGTGCTACTCTAGGAACAAATAGGTGTGTTTTGTTTTGATTTCCTCATCTAAAGGAGGAAAAATACGCGATTTGCACACGTTCTCAAAAAAAAAAAGCATTTATAAATAATTCACCATGTTTATCCATAGTACTGATAGCCGAAAAAAAATTACTGAAAGGGCTGAAAAAAAAATTACTCGTTTTGTCTCAGAATATACCAAAGCAACTCCGATATTAATAAAACCTTCGTCGTCTGTTCAAGCTTCCATAAAATATTTGGTGCACTAAAGTCTAATTCTCAATCACAGACCCCTTGAGAAAGCATATCTGCTTGCCAAAAGATCCATACACACGGTGCTTTACCACACACCACCGTGTTGGATTCCACTACGAATCAAAATCCCCGTCATCCTCTGTTGGCTGCCACGTATGAGAAAAAATGAAGGCTGCCAAGGCGGCTCCCAAAACCGGGGACACCCAATTTATCCAAGAGTTCTTCAGGCTATCGCAATTCCCGGCAAGACATAAGGCTACCTGCAGGCCCGTCGCCACCGCGGGATTCAACACACCGCTCGAGATCGAGCCCATCGCCGCGACGCTTGCGATCAGGGCCATGCCAGTCGCCAGGCCCACAAAAGACTGGCCGGAGCGCTGCGCGTAGCCGGTGTGAAGCATCACAAACACCATGATAAAGGTATAAATTAGGTCTAAAAAATGCTCATTTTGCACCGAAGACTGAATAATCTTCGGTACGTAGATGTCCTTGCTGTTCTGGATAAATATGGCTGTCGCTCCAGCCACAAATGCCGCCGCGACCTGGCAAACAATGTACCAAACACAGTGGGAAGGCTTCAGCTTGCGAACAAGCGCGATGGCGATGGATAGGGCAGGATTGAAATGTCCCCCGGAAATGTAGAAAAATGCCGATATCATGCTCATAAATATAAAGCCTATGGGAAGGCACATGATGCTAGAGTCGCCTGATAAGGAAAAGACGGGCTTGTTGGAAGCGACTGCGAACAAAAGCGTCAAGGTACACGCAAAGGTCCCAAAAGCTTCTGCCAAGTAAGCTCCCAGAAAAGGATACTGCCTAACCCACTCCGGCACCTCGAGAGGAGAGTATTCCCCTCGCACTTGCCTCAATGCAGCCTGCCTCAGGGCATAGAGATGGGCTAGGCGGTACGGATCCATTGCCTCTGTCGTTATCATGCCATTACGTATGACGCGTACTCGAATCTTGCCTTCAGAGTCTCTCTCATCATCACTGTTAAACTGTGGGTCTGTGAAAGGATCAGATTTCACTATCACAGTTTTAGCAAACGATACCGATAATGACGGCGGATAGAGATTCGTCAAATGTCTGTGGGCATTCGTATGAGGAGTGCTTATAAAAGGAAGTTCTTGAACAGTTGTAGCTTGGTATGCTTCACTGTTAAGTGTATTTATTAAAGAATCTGCAAATATCAAATTTTGATCCCTTTTGATATGAAGTTCCTGAATGGTACCCACGGCGTCCTGGGAAGAGAGGTTCGCACTTACTGTAGCTTGCGAAGAGAGCATGTCCTCCCTAATAGCGCCATTTTGGTTCATTAGTATGAATGGAAAAAATTGTAGGCAATCCACTTCACCATTCGAAGATAACGGTGGAGAACAGAGATTTTTTTCGTATAGAGGTCACTGTGTAAGTGACTGAACACTTGAACCGTGTTGTGGTAAGCTACAGTAGAAATGGTGGTAACTAAAAATGTCAAGTGAATGGCAATGTTTTTTTATTCGCTTCTTAGTATAATAATATATAGATATATATATATATAATATTATTACCCTTCTTTCTCAGCTTTTTGCATACACAAGAACACGTTAATATTTTGCTTCTTGACGTTTGATAATGTTGTCCATAATTGCCGTTTTTGAGAACGGCTAAGGACCCTACTGAGGTACTAAGAAATGTTGAAGATAAGCAAGAACTTCCTTTCACAGGCTCATACAGGCGCACCCCAAGATTTATACACATGATTAAATATAAATTAACACATTTAGCAGTGTTTATTGTTAACTTCAGGCTGTTTTTATATCCCTGGCTCCCCTTTGCTTTACAAACCTGGCCCTTCTCCCCTTGTTTCTGCTTCAAATTCAACAATTGATAAAGATTACCAAGGTTCAACCTTATATTACTTTGCGCCTGATAAAGTCACATTGCCGCCAGGATCTAAAACGTGGTTCTCCACCTTAAGCCACTGCCTGAGTGCGGCTTGAGCCCGTGCAAACCATTGCACCGCTTCTGCCTTCGTAGCGCTACTTTTGGCCTTTTCCGCTGCACTAGTATAGCTTTTGAGTCGTTTTAGGATGAGCTTCTCTAACTCCTTCAGTGAAACTACGGTGCGACCCTCTGTGCACAAAAGTTGAATTACCACTTGGCGCGCTTGCTCACCAAGCTCAGCCAGCTCACCGCCGTGGTCATGGCCGTTAGACCCAGTTTTTAGCGTCAACCGCAGTTGGGCGGCTGTTGGTATTGATGAAGCCGATGACCCATTTGACTTTGGCTGTGTACCGGCAATAGGCACCGTACTTGAGGTAGGTACAGTAATCGTCCTTGTGGTTCGTTTTTCACCCTCACCTTGCGGCGATCCCTCGAGAGACCGCGTCCGGTGGATAAAGCGAATCGACGCGGGAGGTTGCTTGGGTGTCGGCATGCTGATTTGGTCATTGTCACCTTCATGAGAAAGAACCTGCTGCGGGACTTTAGGCGGCGCTACAAAGCTGCTCCCATAGGGATCGCGGTGGCGATTGAATAGAGACCAGCGATCTTCAAGACTATCCCCAGCCTCCTGAGCCGCCTTGGCGCTCCATCCCTGCAAAGCCTCCGTACGCACCTTTTTGAGATGCCGCTTCTCCGCCTCGATCCTATCACGATCGTTGTCCGTCGCCTCCTCCGTCTGCCATCGACTTCCACTCGACCTCGCCTCCTCCTTATCCATCGCATCCATCGATTTCCACTCACGTTTGTTGACCCGCGTGCTGGAAGAGGATAGCCAGGCGGGTGAGATCCCCTGGGCGTCCTCCCCATGGGCCGCTGTGGTCTCCATCCGGTCCCCGCGGAGCTCCATCAGGGGCCCCTCAAGGACTAGGGCGGTTAGCGCGGGCTGGGCGCCGGAGGCCCCGACAGGGGGCAGGTCATCCACCAAATCCCGCGCGGCAGGGGCTGTTAGGGGCCATGTAAGAGGCTGTAAGAGAACACAGGTATGCTTCTCGTATTCCGAAAGCGGTACCGAGCTAAGCTGAAGTGTAGCCGCAGATGAGGAGAATTCACGGGTGGTGCTCGTGTTTGAGTCGGAGTACGTTGCGGAATACACACAACGAGTGGGCTCACGAACTTTGCTTTGACTCCGGTGTTTGGGACGAAAATGCTGAGTAGCGGCCCCAGTTGTGGCAACCGCTGTTGTTATCCACTCATCGTCCTCGATGGCAGTGTCGTCCTCATCCCCATCCATCCATTGTGCGCCACTAGTCGAGCCTTCTTTCGGCACTTCTCCTGATGCAAGGTCTTTTTGACGTTGTATGTAATACTCAGGAAGCTGCATCTGAAGTGATGGGGGAGCTTCAGGGCATTCAAGAGTTGGAATGAAAGAGTACAACCTGAGATTGGCCTCAACGGGGATGGTATGAACACCTGGCACGCTTGAAGAACTGGCATTAAGTTCTGTGGGCTCGCGTGATCTGACCGGGGGCTTTGAAGACTGCATCGATTCGTGTGTAGAAAAGGAGGTGCCGCTAAACTGGGACGGCGTGAGGATTGGATATCGAGTTATACGGACACGAGACTGTTGTACCCTGTCCACGGTTGAAGTATTTTGCCTTTCTTTATTTGACTTATAATCGATCGGTCGAATCGGTCGCACGTGACCATCATTCCGAGGAATCATATGCTTATGTTATTTGTCTAAAGATCTGAAACTATCTGTATCCTCGGAAAAAGGGTTTGAAGAAAATGCGCTACATATAGATACAATTCCAATATACTTTCCTCTTATTTACCTTTCTGGGCAAAAAAAAGAGAAAAGATAATGGTTTAAGAGCAATATATGTCTTAATTTGGGGTTTTCAAAATCTAAATATGTATTTATTTTATCTTAATTCCTTCTTTCACATCACTTTGTCTGATCAACAAAGTACTTTAAGAAGGAAGACTCGGTCCTTTGAATTGTAATTAGTAACATCCATATATGGATCTTATTTAATAGAAAATATCAAACATCCACATCCACACATCCAGGTCGAAGATTAGCTAGAATAGAAAAAAAGCTCATTAAGGTATAAATTTCGATATTAATTATCATTGGAGTAATAATTATGATCAAAATGCTGACTTAACACAGGGGAAGAGAGGGGAAACAATAGGTGACAACTGAAAGACTTTCAAGTCAGTAATTTTCAATTTCCACAAGTAGTCCCCTACACTATTTACGTAATAATAAACATCATTCCCTCCCCTTCTCCTATTACGATTCTGCTCGTGTAATTCAGCACTACTCGCCCCACGTCTCACGCGTAACTAGCGAATAGGGAAGGAAGATGTACCTTGGGGTAAAGCGCTATGCACCTCCTCAGCTCATCTCTGCAGTTGCTTTCGAAATAAGCGAGCAGTCCCGCTGCCTCCACTTCTGCGTCGTGGAACTCCCCCAGGAAGTTCTGATAGCCAATAAGGAAGTCCACCACCCCCCGGATGTAGCCCACCGCCACGGCAGGGGGGGTTGCCCTCACGGCCTTGCAGAGGTGAACAGTCGCCTCGGACTTCTCGAAGTTGTTCGGGGCCTGTGTCATCAGCGCACAGAGCGTGTCAACGCTGAAACTCTCCGCAAGGGATGAAAAGGAATCAAATAACTTGCAAAGGGTGTAGGCCATTTGAACGTAAAGGTTATGGGTGTCGCCAAAGACGTCGCAACGTAGGACCTGATTGTTGAAGGAGTAGAGGACGGAGGTCACAAGGCGAGTGTCGAGGGATGACTTGAAAGTTATCAGGAGCTGAGCAGCTAGCTTTAGGAATTGCATCCGGAGTGGGGCGCTGTCTTCTTCAACAGAGAGTTTGGTTATAAATGTCAGTAAAGGCTCCACCGATTCCGCCGGCAGTACCAGACTCCCCAGAACTCGAACCAGCAGCTCCAGAAAGTAGGCGGATGCCACTTGTACTAGCCAGCTTGTCTTTTTGTGCAGTAAATTTATGATAGATATGGTGAGTACATTTGAGTTGGCAATGGCCCATTGCTGCATGAGGGATGTTGGAATTAGACTTAAGTACCCACAGCAAAGGCTGATGGTGCCGTAAAGAAAGTCGACATCGTCGTGGATGTCGCGCGCCACAATATCATGAAGCAGATCGCACCACAGCTTTAGGTTGTCAAGTACGAGGACTTGGTTTAGTCGAAATGATAAGAAATGTATAATCCCCCGATGCAGCAAGAAGACATCCTTGTTCAGAAGCACATTCGGGACCGCGTTGATGTAGTAGCTAGTATACGTTTCCTGAAAAAGTCTACCACGTGAACCAGATTCTTGATTAAGTAACAAACCAAGCTGATCTAACTGAGAAAAATCACCTGCAGTACCAGCTCTATCGCTGAGGTCTTGCATAACTAAGATATATATATCTATTAACACTGTTAAATTTGTGGAACTGTATACGGTAAGACAGGCGTTCAAAGCCAAGAGTAGTTCAGTCATGTGTGAGAGAATTTTATCACTCATGCTAAAGTTTTGGAGCTCTATATATATGGTTTTAACAGCAGAGACACTAGAAAACTGGATTCTCCTGCTGGTACTCTGCATACGGCTGATGATAGCGGTGATACCGACGTCAAGGAACTGCGGGGCGCCTGTCACGATTGCCTCAATCAGTCGAGAGAAGGTCCAGATGGCGATGCTTGAGACGCAAACGTGCTCGTTGACGTTGTTGATGAACTGAACAAGCTGATTGATGATAGCATCCAGGGAATCTTTCAACTGCACCGCACACTCTGAGGCGATGGTCCCGAGCAATACAATGCCAGCTTCCCTTTCCTTCCACGTGGGCCTCCCCCAGAGCTCTTTGATATGCTCTATCACCACAGCGAAGGTTCCATCGGTTGAGAAAGAGCAGAGTGCATTAATACAGCGGAGAGCCGAGCGACGCAGGCTCATAGCCGCCTCGCCTTCGTCCAACAAGTCGTCCTGTATAAGATCTTTGTGGCCAGCCATATTTTCACTCATGCTCGTGCATAAGGCTTTTGCTGCCGTATCCGGCGTACGGTAGTCATCGGATTCCATGATAGTCGTAACCTCGTCCTCAGACATACGAGAAAAATGCACCACTGACTGCACCAGCAACCGGATGTTGTTACTTTGTAGAAAAGGATTAACCAAAAAAGCCCCCTCTCCCTCACTGGCAGACGCGTTGTAAATTTCTAAGATACCTGTTATCAGATCGATCGCAGCGGAACGACGTTCATCGTAATTATGATTATCGAGTTCGCTTGAGATGATATGGAGAGTTCGCATCACCCAAGAAAGTTCCATTCGAGCTTTATCCTCTGGTGAACGTTGAGGGAGGTAGCTAAAGTAATCCAACATAAGTGCGCAAGAACGAAAAACGGTGATAAACAAAGCGTCATCGCCGTAAGCATTTTGCTCTATTAGAAATGTACACGTGTTAATGAATTCCCAGCTTCCTAAAACGAGACCATTTTGCAGGGGCGACAAGGTATCAACATTCCATTCTAAGGTAGAGGATTGCTCATAAATATTGAAGCACATACGGAACGCTGCTTTGCATAATTCAGGCGACACCGTCGGCATTACTGCCAAGTGCGATACCGACTCGATGATCATTTTGCTCGATTCACCAATCTGTTTAGGTAGGTCCTCCATCAAATACTGCAAGGCGTAGAGTCCGGACAAGGTTTTGATTCCACCGGCGGGAAGAAGGTCTCCTAAGAGGATATTTGCCAGGTTACCCAACCCCGTTGTCGTCCACCAGTCAATGGAGGCAAGCACTGTAACCTTCACCACAATTTGCGCGGCAGCGCGCGCGGTGTTGGCATCCGTTGAATTGCATAACGTGTGCAGAGCACAACGTCCAGCCGCCTTGATAACGACCTCCCCCAAGGTGTGCTGGGCCGCCGATAAGTTATTTTTTAACGTGATGCCGGCTATTTGGCGATAGAGACTCCACGGAACCGACAGTTGAAGGTCCGGAAGCGGGCATCGATCGGACTCAAAAATTGTGGCCAGGAGAATGCAAAAGAATGGGTTTCCTTCGTAAGCCTTGAGCTGCTCATACGCATCTTTGGGGTTACTCACCTCTACACCATTGTTATGAAGAAGTAAGATAATATTATGCAGATCCTCCTTGGTGGGAGTATAAGCTTCTGTGCTGGTCATTTAAAGGACGCCAAGAGTTACACAATTCTTATCAATAGATAGTTGGGTCAGAAAAAAATTACTATTTGTATGTATACAGATATTACATTAAATTTACAGCGAATTTAGTTGAAGAAAGTGAAGAAGAATGAAAATTCAAACCAATCAATGATAATTAATGAGGCCGAAGCAAAAGAAAAAAGTCAACATCACTACCAAATTCTTCATTAAGTATGCAACATATATATATATATATATATATATATATATATATATATGTATGTATATATAGTAG